AAAACACAGAAGAGAAAAGATGGGCACTGATCATTGAAGCATTTCATATCACATCCAAAATGTATCTCTACTAATAGAAAACAACATTCATGTTTTCCCCTCTTGAGTCCAATGTACTGCTGGTCAGGAGGCTATGCTGATGACACAGGTATTCATAGTTGGGATAAGAATAATCTTGAAGAAAACTAACATTTTCTACTAAGTGTTCCAAGAAGTAGGACTCTAGATAAACCTTTCCAAAACAGAAACTATGATCTGAAATAGGAATGAATGCAGTTTTGGCACATATCCTGAATCCATTATAAAATTTCAGGATATGAAATTAATAAATACACTTCAAATACCATGGTGTATGGATCAATTATAAAAAATTTAGCATAGGAGATAAGGAAATTGAACATAGAATAGGCTGTACTAGGGATGGTTTTGTCCAACACTGCAAGTTGCTACAAAACCAAATCATTAGCTTAAAAACTCTTAAATAGTCTCATTGGATTGAGCCTTTCATATGGATGTCATGTATGGTACCCAGCCTATTCATAAATTTCTGAACTGTCAATTGTATATAATCACTATCACAGATCAGTGATTAAAAATGGCTTTGAGCAAATGAGTCTGTAAGACTTAGATCATTTTTCAAAATTTGTGAACTAACACCTAGCACTAATTTTGACTCAAATCCCCCCAAAAATTTTGTTTGATGTAGTGTGGAATGTCATTATTGATTGTCATTATTTTCTCTAATTTAAATGTGCTGTGCATTTTAATTGTTGCTGCTGTTAAAAGTCCTCAAGTTAGGTGGTTTCTGTTATTTAGTACTGATAAACTTAGTTTTGATTGTGAGATCCTTAGCAGTATAATCCTCTCTCTCAGTTAGTTGTAAAGTCCTTTGAAAAATTCAATGAGAATAAATCAATTAGTTTAGAGATACTTGTAAGAAAAATCCAACAAGATCAAATTATCTAGTCAGTTTTGGTTTTGAAATCCTTGTTGGGGAAAATCCATTCAGCTCAAATTATGTTTGAGTATAAAGTTTTTTTTTAAATAGATTTAGCAATTGTTTTTTCTTTTGTTAAATTCAGAAAGCAAATTATAGGATCATGTTTTGTGCAAGCATGATCCACCATTACTAATTCATTCACATGATGAAGCATGGGTACCTTAAGCAAGTTGAATTAGTTCCTGGATCTGATTATAACTGCTTTGCAAAAAATAATGACAATTTATCCATCTCTCATTTTTTTTTTATATACTTTTTGACTGTCATTTTTTGATTTTCATTTTTGCATTATTGGTTTGCTATATACTCTTAATGACAAAATTTAACAATATTTTTTCTTTCTTTTTTCTTTTTTTAATTGACTTGTATCATGTTATAAAACTTTTCTCTCTGCTTTTCTCCATGGTTCTATATACAAAAACCAATATATATATTAGCCACCAATATATACTTACTTTACCAAATGAATGATCAAAACAAAATTATATCATTTAAAGACATAAACGAACTATTTTTATCTTTGCTTATCAGTGGTAAAATAATTGAATTTAAGAAAACAGCATATGTTATACACAGCTTAGTAGGTGGGATAATTGTATATTTCTTACTGCCATCAGTGATCAGTATTCAAGCTTAAATAAAAGATTTGCTGATTTCCTGATTTTCTTCACTTAAAATTTTGATGTAATAGTACCTCTGTCCTTTAAATTCCTATTTAGCTTTATACTAAACTAATTTTTAATAAATATTATTAACATAGTTATTACTAACAATGAAGTTGCATATATATTTTTGGTTTCCCCCTTTCAATAATATATATCCACAATTTGATTAATATCAGAGAAGGTTACTTCAACATAACATTTTGTTGCTCAAATGTCCGTATCTTATATGAGGCCATTTTTCCTTGAATCACAATAAAATAAAATAGTTGTAGGCTGTTAAAAAGTGTGTACAATTTTGGTGGCAGTTCAAGGCTTTGGTGATTAGACTCCTACCCATAATAACAGTACATTAGATAGAAAGGATGCATTTTATTTTCATGTTTTAGAAAGTGCAATAAGTAAAAGAAAATGTGTATGTGTGTTACAGTTTTCTTTTTTGTTTTCTCTTTTTTATGATACAAATAACCTCACTACTGTAGAATCTTGTTGTTCATCATCAGGCTGGTTCAGTTAATTGTATATTCCCCCCTTTTATTTCAAAAGAACAAAACTTTATTATTGCTCTAAAATTTTTGTATTGAGCACTTTTTAAATCTGAAAAAATTGTCAGTTTTGAAGTAAATATTAACCTAATATTGATTTCAGTGATTGAAAATATATAAAATTTCCAATTGCTCTAAATGTTATTTCTAAGAAATAATGTTGGATTAAAAATAAAATAAGGAGATAAGAAAATTATGAAAAGAAGAAATAACCACATTTTACACATATGCACATACATACATGTTCAGGTCCACACACATATACACACACATACACACAAAGAAGAAAAAAAAATCAACCTAACATAAATAAAAAAAGTGCATAAATTATTTTTTTAAATTTAATATAAAAATAACAAAAAATTAGAAAATTAGCAGACAATTGCTGATACCTCTTGATGAGTAGACTAAATGATTACAAAAAGACTCATCTATGAAACTCTCGAGATAGGGTGCTGAATATAACATCAATCAGCTAAGTACAAAATTTTATGCTTGTATTAATTATACATATATATATTTAGTTAGATTGATATGAGTTTGTGACCCTGGGTTTTACACTATTTGTAATTGTCAGACAAACTGATTAATTTTTAAAGTTTGTATTTATATATGGCATCCTACTACCATAAAAACGCCAACATCCACAACCAACTATAAATCCAAAATTTAAAAATTAATCAGTTTGTCTGACAATCACAAATAGCATGAAACCCAGGGTCACAAACTCATCAATCCAACTAAATACGTTAGCTCTATTACTGATATTGAGCACTTTCCAATAAGTACTGCGCATATATAATATATAAATAATATATATAAAAAATTGCATGCATGCATGTGTATATATATATATATATATATATATATATATATATATATATAAATAAATAAATAAAAGGGGCATTGAGGTCAGCACCAAGCAGTGACAGTCATACTTCAACACATTTTTCAAAATATCATATCATTTTTATATATATATATATATATAAGGCTCAAATACTAATACTCCATAGTTATAATTTATTACATTGAGCCTTTTATATTATATTCTTACTCTGTCCTAGACATTTAGTTCTACCTGGATTCTATCCTCTTGGAAATTTGTGTGTGTATATATATATATATATATATATATATATATATATATTGACCACTGATATTATTAAAATTTTTATACATATATGTATGTTATATTCATATAATAATAAAATATATTATAATAATTTCCACACATTGTCCATTTTGTAGTGTGTGATATCATTTGTGTATGTTTAGATACGCTTCAAGCAGATATGAACATTTTTGTGAAATCATGGAGAATTGTAGTTTAAAAGCAGTAAAATCGACCTTGCTAACCAGACACTCCTCTGTAGCTAAACTGGTATAGCACATCAGGCTATATGACCGTTCCGTGTCGGATACATGTTCGATTCCTGTCAGAGAACACATATTTTCTATGAAAATTTCTTGGATGTTCAGGATGGTAAATGTTGTTAATACTGTTTATTTTAAACAGATCATTTACTTAAATATTTGTGTCTATATAAATAATGTATAACAATAAAATATATTAAAATAATTGTTGGACTTTGTCCATTTCATGTGTGTGTGTGTGTGTGTGTATATATATATATATATATATATATATATATATATATATATATATATATATATATATATATATATATATTATATAAATTTCGTTTTGTCAATAGCCCTACTAATATATAATAAATATTATTAATCTTATCAATATTATTATTTTAATTGTTTTTTATCTCTCAAATTTCTTTAATTACTCTATCTACACATTATAAGAAGCATATATGGGCAATCTTTCTTTACTATTATATATAATATCTATAGGGAATATGGTGGTTTCCTCTACAAAGTAGGACACAGATTTGAACCCTGCCAGAGAGCACATTTTCTCTAAGTATCTCAAATGCACAGGTCAGTAGATGTAATTCACACTGTTTAAAAAAATTCAGGTCATCAACTAAAACATGGGTATCCACTAGAAATAACATTTAGAGCAATAAGAAATATATATGTATGTGTATGCTTAATTAACTTTTGACAAGACAATGAAATTATTTTCTGTAATGTATACATTTAAGAAATGAAGTATAAAGCAATAAACTTACTTCTTTGTAAAAGTTGTTAGTACAGTTGTTTCCAACCTGTGTTGCAGTTGGATGCCATAAAGATTTTAAATTGAAATACTAAAATAAAATAGACAAAAAAAACCCCTGAAATATTTAGAACATTCAATAACTTTGCAATCTGACCAAATATTAAAGACAAAGTGAAATTCCCCATTTAAAGCAATTTAAAATGAGACAATTGAAACTGCTTTATTTTACAATTAAACACATTAAGAACAGTGCAGGTAAGTTTACATTATTTGTAATTGCAATAAGTGCATTATTACAGATATTTTATTAACAAATAATGATAAACATATGTTTATTATATTGCATTTTCATCTTGGCTATATTGCATTAAAATTCATAGTCAGGATATGTGTCAAGAAAATGTTAGATTTGTAAAATATGAAAAATTAAGGTAATGAAATAGTTGAACACTGCTGATAATTTATTTATTTATTTATTTATTTTTTTTTTTTTTTTTTCAACAAAAATTTCATTTTCATAAATCAATATATAAATGTAATAAATATTCAAACCCTGAGAGAGAAAACCAATATTACTATTACAATGCTTTTCTTTTTACAAAGAACATTTGAGAAATGTAATTATAGTTTTATTTTTTTTTTGTTTTCATCAGGTTGCCATACTGGCTGACTCAAGGCCAACAAGGAATGGTTGGTTTCTGATTGGTTAAGATTGTTAACGGAAATTCAATCAAGATCAACAGACACACTCCTTGCAAGGATTTTGATGATTGTACAAGATCAGCAACAAGAATAACCATGTGTACTAATACACTAAAGGGTTTCAAGATTGTTGAGAATTTAAAAAACGAGGATTGGCATTTTTTTACAATGTGAATTAAAAGGAAGACGATCATGAAATGGAAGTACCATTTTACTTTGATCCTGAATTTGAGACTGAGAAGAAAAAAATAGAAAAAAAATTATTTCTATTTTAATTTAAATGAAAAAAGTCAAGTTTAAATACTTGAATTATAAAATAATCAGGTGAGATAAACTACAAAGACAATGCTGTCTATTAATTTTTTTTTAATTTTATGTGTTCTTTGAATAGTTGTGAATATTTTCCACTGACTATTGAAAAACAAAAAAGCAAATAAGGAAAAAGTCTACACGTCAGTAAATTTTTTTAAATATAAAAAATATACATATCCTCTCAAATGTATTTGAAGAAGGAAGAAATAAGTAAAAAAAAAAAACAACTGGTGATAGATATAAAGGAAATTGTACAAAAAATACACAATATATTGACAATTGGAAAATAAAATTTAAAGAAAAATGGATAAGAGAAAATAATTGCCTCATTTTGGAATGTATCTTGGGCAAAGACAAACTGGAAATTCAGTCAACTACCAATGTCATATTTTCATTCTATCTACTGTATCATTGTTGTAAAATGCTGTGATTTTTACACATTTGTTTGCCCCTTCCTGTAATCTCTGACACTTTTGTTTCCTTTGTTTTTTTGTTTTTTTTTTGGCAAGTTTTGTTTTTATGTCTTATTTAATTTCTTTTCTGGACTGTCATCATCATCATTAGAGCAAAATATTTTCTACCATTGCATCACTACATGTCGATGAGAAGCTGGAATAAAGCAAAGAATGAAGGAAAGAGCCCTACTAACCACCCAAAATCTTATCCCTTGAGAATTGATTGCCTATTTGTTTGCATTATCTATACATTGAATTTTTTTTTAAGTTGTGAAAAGACAACTAAGTCAAGCAGACATAAGTAAGACATTGGTGGCTAAATGAGAACAAAATGTGCACATCTTGTGAAATAAGTCTTTGTTTTCACTGCTTCTGGCAGACTTAATATTGGACAACAAAATTCCTCATGTTTGGAATGTTACTTCTTCAACAAACCTGCTCGTTTAGGCATTAGATTAGTAGCATAAAGATCCTAGGAAAGACTTTTATTTCTGTTTGGGTGGGTTCTTTAATTACCTCTCTTTTAGAAATGAGAACTGGCAAAAAACTAACAAAAACAAAAAGCAGCATAAGAACCAGCTTGATGGTTGTAGTTTTTGCATATTTCCAAATTTCATTCATGGTATGTGTTCAAAACCTGGAAGACAAAAGGTTTTCAAATGTTCATTTGGATTGCTAGTAAAAAAAAAAAAAAGAAAAAAAAAAGATTTCAAATATTAGTTTTCAATGTCTCTCTACAGTGGGCACAATAAAATGAATCTTGAATTCATTCTATAACTTGTGCTCCATTAAATTTAGTAAATTTCACTATCTCCCCCACTTCCCTCTTATATATGTGCACACAATCCTTTTTTTTTTTTGTTGTTTTTAGTAGAGACTTTTCTTTATCTTTTATCATTTTTATATATTTTTTTTCTTTTTATGGGTGTCTTCTCTGTTATCCCTAACTCTACTGTGCAAGTTGTTCACCAGTTAGTACCATCAAATTCTGAAGTTACTCATACTTGTAAAAGCCCAGAAATAATGTACAGATTTCAGTTGATTTGTGTGGATGACTTCAAGAACTTATATCTGCTTGCATTCACTGTCTGTACTGCCAATATTTTTTCCTGTTTTTTTTTTTGTGAATTATGTACTAAATTAATCTTCTTTTTTTTTCATTTTTGTTTATCTCCAATTTATATTTATCATGATTCTTTTGTAGTAACAATTTTAAGTTATATTTTTAAAGCTTAAAATTGATCTTCCTATCATTTCATATTTACCTTTTGGTTTGTTTTTTCATCACTTTACACTTAGGATTTTTTATAATCATGTCATTTTTATGCATTATGAAAAGTCTTGAAACCCTAACACTATTTGGCAGGTTTTAATGCCATGAGATTTACAAAACAAAAAATTTACAAAAATCAGGTATTATCTAATTAATTTAATGATTATGTGATTAATATTTTGTCATATCCTTGATAAAGTTATCCAGCTATTTTTCTTTTACTTTGGACCTGGATTGATCTGATTCATGGAATGGATTTTTTTTGTTTATAATCTCTTTCTAAAAGATAAATACATATAAATAGTTATTTCATATTTCATCTTTGTTGTTTTAATACAATATTTTAGTCAATACATTCTTCTGTCTTCTTTTATTGTTTGAGGTTCTCAGCTAAAGTATTTTCATTATTTCATAGATTTTTAAAACTATTATCATCATTTTCATTTTTTTTAACACATTGCTTTGGCTGGTATATCCTTTGACTGTTCTTATTAGCATGTTACATATTAATATTCTGGACAAGTTACTGGGTTGTTTTTACTTTTAAATATTCTCAACAAGAAGCCCATGTTCAAACAGAAAAAGAGGACTGAGTGTTAAGGTCTTTACTTGGTGTGTTAATGATGTGAAAACAGGACAGATTGGACAACCTCTATTTTTATCAAGGTATAATTCTTTTTTGACTAGTCTTATATGGTATACATCTACAGAAGATTGAATAATATAATGGCTGAAATATTCAAAATAAAGATAAAGATTTCAGAATTTTATAAAATAACAGAAAAGTCAGTTGTTTAAAAAAACAGTGAAAATGAAATTATAAAACGAGATTTATTGATTTTATTTGTTTTTTGTTTTACACTTCTCCTTTCATATCACTTTGTTGGCTTATTGAATGGTACAATATTTGTCTTTCAAGTATTGAATTAGAAATTTGATGGTTTTGGTTGTGTATGTAAGGCAGCTCTGGATTTTATAATATTTTTTGATAGTCACTCCACTTGTTTTATTCACTGCAATATTAATTTAGATTAAATATATTTTTATCTTTTACAAGTTTTTTTCATTTTATTTTGTTATAGCTGATATGTTTTTTAGTTGTAAAATTAGCAGCAATATATAAATAAGTTTTGTGGTTGTGAGATGAAATATTTTCATGATTCTATATATTTCCCACTAGTCAAAAATAAAGAATGTAAAAATGTGGAATATGGAAAGAATTCCTTACAAAAATATCAAGAATGTTAAGAAAAAAATAAGAGATTGTTAGATGATGATATTATAAAAAAAAAAAAAGCATTAATTCATAATTAATAAAATTCTGGTGCGCATTTAACAATTAAGAAAATGAAACAAAAATGGATGCAAGAAAGTCACAAGCATCGAATTCTGCTTCCTTCATATCTTTTTTACTTGGCCAGTGCCAACATTGTCATCTGTAACTTTGTGTCTTGCTTGAAGACCTCAATCCAAAATATCTTTTCTTGTATGAATGATCTGTGTTACTTATGATTCTTAAAATATATTGACTGATAATAATTACAATGTTTACAGTTTGTCACACCTTGATTGAGATTCTAATCTCAGTGATGTTTGTCTGTAGACAGTATATATATTCATGGGTGGATAAAAAAATTGACTGCCCAAGAAAAGAATAGACTCATTTCAAAATAAATGAATCTTTAAAACATCAATGCTTATTCTAAGAGTTGTTCAGATCTCATTCTTTTATTATTAATACAATTTTTAGTGATAAAAATAAGGGAGATCTGGAAAAAAAAAAAAACTTTTTCTATTTAGATCCTATACCTAAAGAAGGATGAGAAATTGATTAACTAAAACAAAGTAACAACAACAATAAAGAAAAAGTTCAGTTATCTGAATAATTCTTAAAATGATAATAACTCATCACAAAATTATAGAGAATTCACTTAAAATGAAATCTTTTCTTTTTTGACCACAGTTTAATTTTATTTAAAACTTATTTTTTTTTATTTTAGTTCTCAACAGCTGAGGGTTTTACTCACCCATGATTAACATTCCCCAAATGTGCTAAGGCAGAGTTTAATGTTAATTATTTTATTCTTATGTTTAAAAACAAAAGCAAAAATCAACTTTCAAATATTTATGGGAGAAGAGTGCTTCGTGTTGGGGATGATGTTTGCAGTGTGGTCAAAGAAATCAACACTAATTACTGTTTTTTTATGCCTTAAGTGATCATCAAACACTGTTTTCTTTACCTATTTACTGTTAAAAAAAGATTAACTTAAAATATATATAAAAATGATTTTAAAAATGTCCTACCAGTATTATTTCAAAGAAAATGATCAAAATGCATTTTGAAGCAAAAACCATACTTGCGGTTGAATGAAAGATAAGTTATCAATACAAATGAGTGGTAGATGAAAAAATCCATTTATTCTTTATAGTCTGAATATTGAAGTTTCTTATTTTTTATCAGTCTTTTCATTTGTTCAATTATTCTGCATGTATTCAGTTTTTGTTTTCCGTGTCATTAAAAATGTTTGGCAATTCCTTGTAGTTTTACTTGTTTGATATTTTATTCATACTTAGCAGGCTTGTTCTACTTAAAGACAATTTTTTTATTTATTTTTTAAAGTTTTAAATTTGTAAAAAGGTCTCTTATTTTTTTTAAAGTAGTTTTTCTTTTCTCAGAAATGGTGTATTTGTTCTAGAAGAGTGTGTGTGTGTGTGTGTGTGTGTGTTATTTCTGGGGTGGGTGTCAAATGGTCATAAATTCTGATTGTTTTGCTGACTACTACATATGTCATCTGGCTAAGTTGATTTCAACAGGTGGTGAGGACAACAACATCTAGTGTACTACTGTCTTTAATTTTTTGGCACTTCAGTTTACAATTATAATTAATTTATAACTTGAGTGCTTTTGACTGAATAATGTATATTGAATGACAATGAATTAAAAAAAATCTTGGAATATC